GCCTTCTGGTTAGCAGTCAAGTGCCTTAGGCACTATGCTACCAGAGCTCCCGAAATTAATAGTAGTTATATGAGTCGGGTCTGACTCGAAGGCACATAACAACAACAACAATGCTAAATACTTAATGCAATTAAAGTAGGGCTCACAAAGGACATTTGAAGTAACTCCAGTTTCTGAGTATCTGCAACAGAAGAGGGAAATCTGAAAGACTTCAATGTGAAAACTGTGAGAGGGCTCTGGACCTGGATTATTATCCTTGGCATTCTCCTTTCGGCTTGGCTTTTGCTTGGATTACCTGCTATGTAAAGTGAAGGATTTCACTTGACATGTTTCAAGCGTGAAGTAATGGCAGACAGAAAAGGGAAGTAAGTACACCCAACTAATTGAGAATTATACTATTGTTGTTAGGTGCCAAGGAGTCAATTTTGTACAAAATGAAACTGCCCGGTCCTGCATCATTCTCACATTCGTCACTATGTTTGAGGCCATGGTTGCAGCCACCGTCAAGCCATCTCATTGAGGATCTTCCCCTTTTTTGCTGACCCTCAACTTTACCAAGTGTGATATCTTTCTCCAGGGCCTGCTCTCTCCTGACAACATGACCAAAGCACGAGAGCCAAAGTCTGGCCACTCTCACTTCTAAGGAGCATTCCAACTATACTTCTTCCAAGAAGATTTGTATCTTGTGACAGTCCATGATATATTCAATATTCTTCACCAACACCAAAACTGAGAGTTATAGAATCACTGAATGTTAAGAAATTTGTAGACATGTCAGATGCCATTTGGATTTACTTCATGAATCCAACCATTCAACAACTAAATCATTAAAATATGTAAAATTTGAGAATTGTTTAACAAAGTTTTAAGGATCTCTGTAGGTATATTGGGAGCTCTGGTGGCATAGTACCTAAGCATTTGAATGCTAGCCAGAAGGCTGAAGGTCCAAACCCACCAGCCACTCCTCGGAAGGAAGGTTGGGCAATCTACTTTCATAGTGATACTGCTTGGGAAACCCAAAGAGGGGTCACTTTGAGTCAGATCCGACTCGATGGCAGTG